TTATATATATAGTTTAATTACTAATGTACTCATTAATGATAATTTATCTATTATTATTATATTAATTTTTATTTGCTATCTATTATTATTATATTATTAATATATTAATTTTTATTTGCTAAATATATGCAATTATTAATTACTTAATATATTAATTTAAGACTATTAATTACATGTACTCAAAACAAATATAAATGTAACCAAACACGATTTCACTTTTTTATTATACTCAAACCAATCTCTTGAAAGACCACCAAACGTAATTTCATAATAGGTTCCAGAATAATTTTTAAAACAATCTCATTTTCATTTTTTACTGAAAATAAAATCATTTTAAAAACATTACTAAACGGGCCCAAACTCTTCTGTTTCTTAATCATAACCATATACACACAACTCCCATATCTTCACAACATGTCAGCATAAGACCAAAAATTTCTACTGCTTTAACATATACACACAACTGCCAGATCTTCACAACATGTCAGCAAAACACCAAAAATTTCTACTGCTTTAACATAACAAAACCTACTTTATTTAAAGAAGATCAACCAGTCCAAATTTTTCATCCCTATAGTGCATTGATTCATCAGAGGTGCCTTTATTGTGTTCTTCTTTCTTTCTTTATCTTTTTTTTTTTATATTTGTTATTTTTGCAGCAAAGGCGACCTAAGGATTTGAACGCACAAAATGATTCATTTATGTTTGTTTATTTATGGTAAAATTACTAGAGTTTCCATTTTTAAAGTGAAAATACAAGATTACTCACATTTTATCATTTAAAATTTAGCAGAATGTAACTCAAAGTTTAAGTTGGTACAATTTTTAATACAGAAACTAATTGTAGACAAAAGAATGTTCAGACCTTTGGAGAACTTAAAGAATTCTAGGGACGCCAAAGTTGACCTTGATCACATTGTCTTATGGTGTGCTAAGTAGAGGTAAAAGTTTAAACTGACCCAACGGTCTTAAAGCCACAGGCCTAGGACAAGCATGTCCGGAATTTTATAAGATATTTTTAAGAAATATCTAAAATAGAGTGTTCTAACTGGTCTAAGGTTTTGGGCTTGAAACCTAACCCAACCCGACCCAAATGGTGCCTCAGGCCGACCCGTTTAATCCATCTTGAATTTACAACTCTAGGCCCAAGAATTCTGATCTTTGGTGAATTTTCAAAATTCTTAGGACACCATGAAACAATGTGATCAAGGTCAATTTTGTCAAGCATCAGTAAGCATCCGACCTCCCAGGCTTCCAAATTTGGGTGATTTTGATCCCGCTATCCAGCCTCTGTTGGTGGATTTTTTATTTATTATTTTGCCCTTTTGCGTAAGAAGTTCTTAGCAGTATGTATAAATTTACAGAAGCAGCAGTAGCTCTTGTTACAATTCATTCAAGGACACAAACAAACATAATTAGAAGCACTAAAATATACATACTACAATTCAGACGCAAAAATTTCTATAGCTCTTTCGCATGTCACTCCTCATGAACAAGCAGAAGCAGCTGTCTTATCTGAAATCAAAACAGAAGCACCAAAAAGTTCAAATCTAATTTCTCCCGTACCTATAGTTTGTCCTTTTGGTGATGCCACTTGAGTTCACACCCCAGAACAATGCTGCAATCCCAAAGGCTGCGGACTTTGAGGCGAATCCAGGTCTTTATAAACCTTTACTTTCCTATCAGAGAACAAACTCAGAAGTCTCTCTCTTAGGAAAGGGAAAAGCACATCACAAGACGTCAACACATCTAATGAGTGAATTACTCCTTGCTTTACAAGCATGCTAAATGACGATGAGACGCCTTTAACTATGAGATCATTCCGATCCACATCGTAGTTGTCCACGAGAAGGAACAAAAAATCAAGAAGAGTGTGAGTCATGTCAATGTATCTAGGTATAGAGTTTACCATCAGCAAAATTGCAGGCTCAAGATTCATGATATTGTCTAGTTTGTCATTAAAGAAGAGCCAATCATAGAACAGGGCAAGCTTCACATTGGCTTCAACATGATTCTGTGTGCAAGATTTAAGCAGCCAACCTATTACAGCCCACCTTGGAATAACTTCAGACCGAATGATTTCATTAGGTGGGTGGTGTGCACAACATATAAACCGAACAATGTCAATTATCAGAGTTTCTCTCTCCGGCCCACATAGAAACTTCTTAGTAAACCATGACTGATGACGTTTCTGGCTCCCCAACTTCACATGTGTAAGTAGAAATCTCAACTGGGCCTCCATTTCCGGAGTAATTTGAAGTGAAAAAAAACTACTTGGTGTCCTGGTGCAGTAAAGCTGTGAAATATCCGAAAATCCTGGAGTCTTGAAATTACCAGGGTTTAGTATCAAATCCTTCCATATAGCTCTAAACTCGGGTACATGAACCAAATCCTGTAGTAATCGAACCAGATCCCTCCCAATTTTAAGACACAAATGGAACTCTTCCTTCAATACTCTAACACAAAACTCAATCTCCAAACGCTTTAATGCCTCTAATTTTGTGTTGTGATTATGAATTGATCTACAGTGATCAGCTAACAAGCGAAGGTAAGTATACAAAGCACTCGCTAAAATCATAGGTTCCTCTTCTAATAGACAACCCCATTTGGTCGAAAAGATGTTCAACACCTCAGAACACAACCATAGGTTGCTATCACTAAAATCTCCACCAACAATCTGCCTCAACAAACAAACCAACAAATTACCCAAACCTACTGCAGAAACATCAATCATTTCTTTAGAAACCCAAATCAACTGTCTTTTCACCGAGTCAAGAAGTTTCACATACAGCCCGTCAACAACCTTGATTAGCAAATCAATAAAAGAGCAATACCCATCAGTGACAATGGCATGAAGGTGCTTAATGTGGGTTTTGGCCAAATGGGGTTCACACAAAATCCCGTAAAGGATAGCATGGTTGAGCTGCGAGTACTCTTCTGGGTTTGGGATTGCTAATGAAAAGGGGGGTTTCAGCTTTGGCTGAAGAAGCTCAAAGGCTTGTCTGAGAGAGAGTTCGGTTTGGTTTTCTGCTTCATGGGAAGCAATTAGCATCAGTATTGAAGCCATATTAAGCTTCTTAAAGATGCAGGTGAAATTGGAGTTTGAATAAACAAGTGATTTATCAATAGAGACACAAAGAAAGTTACGAAATTACCCTGTTTACTCATCAACTAGAGAACTTGAGATTGAAATTGGAATTGGAATGCTGAAACCCTGGTTGAATATCGGAGTTAGCTTCGCATCAAACTGTTTCGATAGTAAAATTCCTCAAAAGGGCCCTCTTTCACAAAGAACTTGTAAGATATTTATTTCTTTGATTTCTTCAAGCTAAACGCGATTGAAAAGTGCTTGTGTCGTCTCCTAGAATTTCAAAAGAAGAACTGGATAAAAACCAAGAAAAGGTTAGTCAGTAAAGCGCATAAAACATTGCAAAAAGCTTAACATTAGATTAATTACTCCCTTGAGATCCAACAAGCTAGAGTAGAATGTAGAACAAGACCGGGGGAAAGAAATACTCTACATGTAGGATTAAGTCAATGAAAAAAAAGCCAAAAAAATCCCCCACTAAACAAGACAATTCAAAGAGGAGAATGATTTAAATTTATATAAACAAGAATCATTACGCCCATCTATGTGCAATTTTAAATGAATGAACAATTTATACCTATTAAATAATGGATCGTCAATCAAAAATTTCATTTTCTCTCTTCAGGTACAACTAGGAAAATTGAGAGAGTGAAGAAGAAAACAGTTTTGGGTTTAATTCTGTTAATGATTTAGTTTAGAGTTTAAACCCAAGAGGAACCCTAGCTTCAAATTCAATAGACTTGAAGGGGAAAATAGTAAATTCAAGTGAACAAAAAGCAAATCAACATGACTACCACAAACATTTGTAATGAAGCAAAACAACGCAGTCCACTTCTTATCAATACAAAACCAGCAAATTAAATAAACACTCATCATGATTATGTAAATGCAAATTGAAATGCCAATAAAACCAATCGCAAAAAACCCAAAAAAAAAAAGGTGGTCTATTTTGACTGAAAAAAGACTTAAAAATGCCCTAGTAGAAAATGAAAATGAAAGTAAAACAAAAAAAAAAAAAAACATAAAAACAAAAATTCCATTTCTCTCTTTCATTTCCCCCACTAATATGCCAAAAAAGAGGAAGATTTTAGTCAGAACTTCTCCAGATAATTTTTTTCTTTTGGTAAAAGATGAGTGATATTGACACGAAAAAAAAGGGAAAAAAGAAAACAGAGAACAAAGCAAGCAAGACAAGAGATCAAAATTCCAGAACCATTCAAATCCAAAACTTTCAGCATTGAGAACAAAATTCCAAACGAATTACCTTTGTTGAAAAAACCCCAAAACACCAATCAATCCACACACAAAAGCAAAACCCTTTCCTCATAAAGGACAAAGGAAAAGAAAAAAAAAAGTAAAACTACTGCAATCTCTGGAGCCAAAAAACCCACGAACCCAAACCTGACAATAAAGGTGAGATTGGACTAGCCAGAGTTCAAGACGGCGGTTTGTTGATCGTGTGGTGCGGTGTACATGGCACGGGGTGCGTCGCGTAGCGGCATGGGAGAGGCATTGTTTTAGATGGAATAGGATCCACAAAAAATCTCTTCTTTTCGCTTTAATTTCATGGCAGTTTCTCATGTAGGCCAGTACTATTAGTAGTGTTAGTTTCTAACCGTCAAATCAAATCAAAATCACATAAGACTAAAGCTATGTAAGCTGGATTTTATGAGGGAAAGAAAATTTGGGGGAAAAAGAAAAAAAATAAAGGGAAAAAATAGAAAATTTTCACCTTGTTTGGAACTTAACTCAAGAAAATTTATGGGAAAAAAGCCAAAATTCACTCAAATTTTTTATCTCTTATTTGGTAGTTGAAGAAATTTATTAAAAAAATTTGAAAAAATACATAAATTTATGTCTACTTTTTCTCTCTTTATGATCTCACCTCACTCTCTCACCTCACTTTCTCCCTCCTCACTCTCTCTCCTCACTCTCTCAACTCACTTTCTCTCTCCTCACTCACTCACCTCACTCTCTCTCATCATTCTCTCAACTCATTTTCTCTCTCCTCACTCTCTTTCTCTCCAAAAATTCCATTTCAAGAGAAGAGAAAAGTCACTTTTTTTGTCCCCCCTAATTGTCCTGGTTTTTTGCATAGCCCCTATCTCAAAGTCAAGCTTAATCAACACTAAAACAAACGAACAAATGTCTACAAATTTCTTTCATATCAGAAAGCAACAACAGCAAAAAAATTCAACCCATAGAAGATCAACAAATTCTCATAGGACCATAACAAGAAGTCCATGTAAAGCATAATACAAACCTAGTTTTTATGCATTGTTTAGAAAAATTGCAACACTCTTTAGTGCTCTAGCTATGCATTGTTTAAGACAAGTCTGCATTAAAAATTACAAGATGTCCATGTAATGCAACTCTCAAACGACAAAGACCTCATGCTATTCTGTATTGGTTTTGATTTCTCATTAGGTCCTCAACTTATCAGAAACATCTTCAAAAATTGTACAGTTTACTCGTCAAAAATTTCGGACCGAAACTCCATCCTTAACCACAAGCGTCGTCGCTCCTCAGTGATAGGAATAAAAGCTTGTATTTCCCCTCAAGATATTCAACTTCAACATTGTACAAACTCCATCCTTAACCACAAGCGTCGTCGCTCCTCAGTGATAGGAATAAAAGCTTGTATTTCCCCTCAAGATATTCAACTTCAACATTGTACATTTTCTCTCTTTTAAAATTTTATCAACAAAAACAAATAAGCATAATTACAGAAAGAATCTATTTCTTCAACTTTCAACTAATGAAAGCAATTAAAGCTTCGGATTTTTAATTCTAGAAACGCAAGGAAGAAACCTAAAAAAATAAACATCTTTTTTCCTCATTTCTTCACTCAAAAACGACGATTAAACCAAGTATTAGCTAACGAAGTTCCAGAAAGTTCAATATTTACAACGAAAAATGAATCAAAAACCTAAATTTCAAAAAAATTCTGTTTGATCCATAATAACTTACAATCCCAAATATTTGGAAGTAATCGACCAACTGATCCACAGGCTAAATGCAGCGACAAGACAAGCAGACGAGAAACGGCGCCGCCTCAGCCGCGGCGTTGCAATTCCAGCACTTCGCGTCGAGGTTGAGGGCAGTTTGCGAGCTGAGAAATTGTTTCCCAGAAAATTTGAATTTCCCGTGAAAATCAGGTCGGCCACTGGGGAGGAAGAACAGCCTGGAGTTGTCGGAGCAGGGAGAGAAACGAGAGCGAGACTGAGCTCCGGCGGCGAATTTGATTGTGGGAAAGGGCTCGCCGGAACGGCGGAGGAGAGTTCGAAGAGAGAGAGAGATCGGTATGGAGAAGAGTTCGAGGACGGGAAAGAAGTCGAGAAGAGAGCCCGAAAATTTTTCCCCATTTGCGTGTGGAATTGGTTTCATTTACGGGGTGTTTAACAGGTGTATTCGTATCATGATTCTCGTTATAATATTTTTTTTATATAAAAATACACATAAATTAAAAATAATTTTAAATCATAATTTTAACATTGTGAACTAAATATTCACTTAAATCTCGTTCATTTCGCTGATTCGAGTTTAGAATTTGAGTTTTACTACAGTAAAAAGCTCTCACAAACAATCACTTCTATTTCTTTTTTTTTTTTTTTTGCTACAGTAAAAAACTCTCACATAAAATCACATCTCAACTCGAATTAAAAACTCGAATCAACAAACTAAATGGGTCCTTAATGATTTATCAACGAATTAAGGGCACATTTAGTTAGAGGTAATGGAAAGTAATGGAAAGGAAAGACAATTCCTTTAATAAAGTCCGTTTCTTATGTTTGGTTGAGAAATTCACATCAAAAAAGTCTTTCCAATGGAAAGATCATTCATCCATTTTGGTGGAAAGGTCATTCATCTAATCAAAAGTGAAATTGCAATTTTGAGGCTGGTGGAATCATTTTTTTCCCTAACTACCCTCTTCATCTTCTAAACACACTGCTCCAAAATCAAAACCCATCCATATCTTTGTCAGATCCAACCTAAAGTTACGGCGAGACTCCATATCCGACGCTTGCATTGAGCACTGTCGGGCCGCCGCGCCCACGTCTGAAGCCCACGTCGAAGCCACCATACATTGTCGGAACTCACATCCACCACCGAAGCCCATTTCGAGCGCCGCTAGAGATAGACGGAATCGCGTCATTCTGGAGCTCTCAAGGCCGCCGGAAGTCATTGGAGCTCGCTTTGAGTGCCTTTGGTGATCCACCGTCAACATTGAAGCTCACAAATCAAGCTTGCATCTTTCCATAATTTTTTTTCTTCTCTCGCTCTTCTTGTTCACAAGAAACCGGTTGCTATAATTGATAGGACATATTTGGATATGTTCTTATAAATATGGAGTTCTTGGAGTTGTTCTTTTTGATGATTGTAATGATTTCTTTTTTATTTTTTTTAAGATTTGGGTTGCTCAAAACATTCCATTCTCATTACTATTACCATTAGCATTACAATTCCACCACTACAACCAAACGCACCCTAAAAGCTCTTCAATTCTATTTTCAATAAAAAAAATAAAAAGGAGATTGTTTTAAAAATTATTCTAAGATCAATTCTAAAATTGTGTTTAGTTGATTTTTTTTAAAAACATATTTTGAGTATAATAAAAAAGTAAAATCATGTTTATTAATTAGATAAGTATTAAAAAAATAAAAACTAAAAACTAAAAATAACTTTCAATTATTTTCTAATTTTTTTTGCAAAAATTATTCTTATTGTTTTCGTTTTCGTTTCTAAAACATTTGCTAAACAAACGTCGTTTCGTTTTTATTTTCATTTTTTGTTTCTCAAAATATGTGAAAACTATTTTTAAAAACGGTTCCAAACACGCACCCGTTTAGTTCACTTATTTGAGTTTTTAATTCGAGTTGAGATGTAATTTCATGTGAGAGCTTTTTACTGTAGTAAAAAAGTTAAATGTGACTGTTTATAGAAGCTTTTTACTGTAGCAAAACTCAAATTCTAAACTCGAATCGATGAAATAAACATTAAATTTTCAATTTCCTCCCAAATTTTTTAAGAAAAATGAAATCCGCCTGTCTTGTTATAAATTTTCCACCTATTTTTCTATGTAATTTTTTTTTCCACCCTCTCCTTTAGTTCCAAACAGAAGAAACCAAAATCCATCATTTTTTTTTTCTTTCCTCCAAATTATCTAGGTTCCAAACAAACTCTAAAAAAGTATACACGACGGCAAAAAGTACCCAGTTCATCTTCTTCGTTTAGCTTCAGCAGTTTCGTCTCGAGTGGGAAGAGAGAGGGAGCAAGCCGAAGATAGACTGCTAGGATAAAGAGAGTGTGAATGAGAGAGAAAGAGAGTAAGGCCATATTTGGAAGTTGAATTTTGCGGGGGAAAGAAAATTTAAAGGAAAAAGAAAAAAAATAAACAAGAGAAAAAAATAGAAAATTTTCGCCTTGTTTGTTTGGAACCTTAAGAAAATTTATAAGAAAAAAAAAAAGTCAAAATTCATGCAAATTTTTTATCTCTTGTTTGATAGTCCAAGAAATTTAAAAAAAAATTTGAAAATTTTTGAAAAAAAAATACATCAATTTATCTCTACTCATTCTCTCTTCATCTTCTCTCCTCTCTCTCTCTCCTCACTCTCTCTCTCCAAAATTTCCAGAGAAGAGAAAAATCCCTTTTTTTTTCCAGATTGTCGTAGTTTTTTGCATTGCTCCTATCTCAAGCTTAACCAAAACTAAAAAAAAAAAACAAATAAGGCATCATTTATTCGAGTTTTTAATTTTAATTTTATTACAGTTAAAAGTTCTCATAAAAAGTCACATATAATTTTTTCTATTTGAGTAAAAACTCTCATATAAAATTACATTTCAATTCAAATTAAAAACTCAAATCAACAAACTGAATGAGACTTAAATGTCTACAAATTTCATATCAGAAAGCAACAACCGCAAAAAAAAAAAATCAACTATGCATTGTTTAGACAAAAGTGCTCTAGCTATACATTGTTTAAGACAAATTTGTGTATGCCGTTTAGTTCGCTGATTTGAGTTTTTAATTCGAGTTGAGACGTGACTTTATGTGAGAGCTTTTTACTGTAACAAAAAAGTTATATGTGATTATTTGTGAGAGTTTTTTACTGTAACAAAACTTGAATTTTAAACTTGAATTAACGAAATGAACGGGACTGCAAGATGTCTATGTAATGCAAGAAGGTTGGAAACAAGTGAAACAAAATAATAATAATAATAATTCCATCCAAATTTCCTGGTTGGTTACACTTGAAATGCTGTAGTACGTTTGTCACCGCTATGAAAGCTTTGAGTTTTGTGAAAACCTCATGATCAAACACAAGCAGCAAACACTCATCACCATTGCTACTTAGCAGCAATCCCAACTAAGGTCTTGCATCATTCCTTATTTCTGGAGTCCTTCCCAATTCATTCATCGTCAATGACAGAGCTAGGGGGACCTGGCACCCATAGCATTTTTCCCTTTTTTTAATATGGCGGTTTTAATTTTATTATAATAAATATATATATATATATAAATTAGACTTGACCCCCTTCAATTAATAATTCTCTACATTTTATTGGACCAACCATTTAGATTTTAAAAAATAAAAAAGTTATTTACATAAATGTCTACTATTTTGTTTAAAATATTCAATTTTATTAAGTTTATAAAACATTAGTGGGACTAAAATCTAACAATTTTAATAGCCCAATTATAATACTAGCTCATTTATACTAAATGTGATATTTTGTGTATATTAAAAGCTTACAAAGAGAATTCTCAAACAAATATTCAGAATATCATTATACCAATGAGTCGCAATACTATTTAAGCACGGAACGGCACTATTGAAATTTCTTTTCTATCCATTGAAGATAATTTATATCCAAACTCTTTTTTGTAAATGAATGCCCATCACCGATGCTTACAAATTATAAGTTGTATCTAAACTCTTTTTCAATCTTTAACTCAACAAGTTAGTGAGTGAAGGTCACATCTAAACTGTTCGAAAAATCAAAAACAAAGATTGAAAGAAGTTTGGAAATTTGCTCCATTATTCAAGGTTAGATTTTATTTTTTCTTCTCTTTTTCTTTATTTTTTTTCCTTTATAATCTTAATTGTTTCCTCTTCTATTTCAATGTCTAATGTAGGGA